AATAAATTAAGATAATTATTCTAAAACTTATAAACAAAAATATGGATTAAAAAATATAAATAATAATGTCTAAAATAATTAATTTAAACAATTTTGAAAAATAATAAATTAATCGTTCCAAAATAATCGAATAAATTCAAATGTTATTGCATAACCTAAAAATTTTAATTCTAATATTTATTCCGGTTCCCTCCTACACTCACCTTATTACAACCGCAGACATCATTACATTCGAATATGGGCACTGGATCTTCGAAATTGAAATCGGCGCTCAAACGGCCTTCCGTCGTGTACCAATTTTGACCAGATGCCTCACTGCATTGGCACTGCGATGAAATGCAGCTGCAAATATCCAAAAATAATTATATTCCATCTAAAAAAATTTATTTTATTATTCCACCACTCACCCATCCATACACGAGCAGATGCGCATTTGCGCCACACGATAATCGATTGGCGTGCAATTTTGCAGAATTATGGACTTTTTGATATACTTCAGATCGGGCAACATAATCTCATCGGACTCGTCATGCACTACAGTGGCCGTAGAAGCGCTCAGCATCTCATTGCCACCATTCTGCTCAGCGCCATTCAGACTGCCACACAATTTCTGCTCATTACGCACAACTTGTATCGGACGCGCTTCACGTCCGTTCGATATGTCATCGCAAATAATGCGACTGCGTAGACCCAGCGGACGGAATGAACGCATTTGCATGTTGAAACCAACAGTGCGTGCACATTCCGAGTCCTCGTGCGGTATACAATCGTATGGTAATTCGTCGGCTTTATTCTTCACCATCAAATCGGCGCCGTTAGCGATTAGCGCAATGCATAGGCGGGTAATGGAGTGACGGCAGGCGATGTGACTGCACAAAAGAGGGTGGAAAAGAGACAAGAGAGAAAGAAACACATAGAGTTAGTTTTTGTTAGCTGAAATCCTAGCGGCATACTTACAGCGGTGTATCACCCTCCACATTTTGTACATTGCAATCGGTGCCAGCTTGCAGCAGCATTGTGATCGTCTCCAAGCCATTACTGTGTAATGTGGCCCAATGTAGCACAGTGTTATTGTCATTGTCGCAAATATTCGGATCGGCACCGTGATTGAGTAGTAAACTATGAAGAGAGAGATGAGAACAATAAGAGCATTGATTTAGCTTCTTCTTCTTGTAGGGATAATAGCAGTTTTTTTTCGATTTTGCTTGCATAAGTTCTTTCACGATTCCGTTAGGTTGTTATTGTAACGGTAGAAAACATACATGAATTGTTGACAGTACTTGGTCGGTTAATAATCCGCGCTTCTTCCGGTTACATTGACCCGAAGGAACCGTTTTGTAAAGCCACTCACCTCACAATTTCCGTGTGTCCCAACTCTGCTGCCCACACCATAGCGGTCCAGCCACCATCATCTTGTGTGTTTATGAAGTCCATAAAATTCAATATGCTGCGGCACGAGCGATAACTGTCGATAATCAATTGCGCCGCTTCCAGATTACCAAGCTTGGCGGCAATGTGCAGACAGGTCTTGCCATCCAGGCCCTAGGTGTCAAAAATTGAAACAAATAGAGAGAAAATTATTTTTAAATTTTAAAGTCTACATTTTTTTCCAATTACCTTTATTGCCAAATCAGCGCCGCATTGTATGAACAAATTCAGTATATCACACTTGTCACCCAATACCGCACACATCGCCGCGGTGCGCAGCTCGCGGTCCAACATATTTATAAACTCCTTGGCATAACCCTTGCAAAGTAACAGAAAGGCCATCGGCAAGGTGCCAGAAAGCGCCACCAAATGCAAGCAGGTGCCATTAAGGAATTCGCGCATGCGCGTCTTCACATCGAAATCAGAGGCTGCAATATGCCAAAAGACAAGAATTTTTAAATTTTTTTAACTCTTTTTTATTTTCTATATAAAAAAACACGCACCGAGTATTTCAGCAACGCGCTCGAGATCGTCATTCTTCACCGCGTAATACATGTCGCGCGTGGAGAACTCCGAAATAGAGCTGCGTGTGCTACTGGCGCCACGACGCACATCGCGATTGCTTGGCGCACGGCCGCGCAGCACCACATTCATGACGGATTCGGGTATCAGCTGCTCGAAATTGATTTGGTGCGTACGCAGCGTACGTAGCGGTACAGTGTTGCTGGCAGCGCTGCCAGCAGCTGCAAACGACGTTGATGCGCCAACACCAACGTTTACGCCTACAGCGCTGTTAACAGTCACAGCATTGGAATGGCCATTTGGTTGCGCGGCGCCGCTCAAAACAGGTAGCGGCATTTTCGCAGCTTTGCTGTAACGAAAAATATAACGGTTATTTCGCATATGCTGTTCGAGTGGGATCTGAATTTGCATTTACATCTTTGGCGCTCTTTGACTAGGCAAGAATACAGGCAATGTTTGGCATTTCATCGTGACGATGGAGGTACGTTCCGGCGTGTCGATGCCGCAGTGCGGACACTTTAGCACCAATGTGGGACTAGTGTAGTTGCTGGCCGGTTGCTGCGCATCCATGGGGCTGCTGAGTATGAACTTCTCGGCGCATTCGGCGTGGAAAAAATGTTGACGCTTGCAAAGCACAAATTTCCCCTGCAAGTGGATACACAAAAGTTTAGTTAGTGTTTACAAAATATATTTTCCTAACCGACACGCACCTGCGTGCAAAATATGCCACAACCGGCGCAACAATTGTGTGTACTCAGCCGCTTCTTGTGGTCCTCGCACAACACCATATAGCTGACGCGCTGACTTGGTCGCAGCAGATTGAACACTTCGCCGCTCAGTTGATTGCTACAGCCCACCTTCTGCTCCTCGATGTTGTCAATGGCCCAACAGTAGGCCGTATCGGGTGTGTTGCGCGTGTAGAATTGTGTTTTCTTCTCGCAGTAGCAAATTAAATTGCGTTGCTGCGCAGTTCGGGCAGGTGGCGGCGGTGATGGTATGGTTACCACAGTGCCGATTGCGTTTAACGCGCTGACTGTGGCAGCTGCCAAGCCCACTGAGCGGTTGCTGGGCGATTGTAGCTCTTGTGATGATTCATTTATCTCGATGACTTCAAGCGAGGGCGCTTTTAGTAATTTCTGTTTGCACACGCTTACATTTGCGGTTGGCTTAGTGGTCGTTGCTGCTGCTGCCGATTTCTCAACAGCATTACGTTGACGCGCTTGCGGCTTTCGTCCCGCTTTTGCGCTTGTCGGCGAAGCGGTTGCAGCGCGTACTGGCATTAACTGCGCCGGCGCAGCGGTTGGTGTTGGTGTGCTCTCTTTAATGGCGGAGCGTTGCCGCAGCGTATGACTACGTCGTTCCACTTGTACGCGCGTAGTCGGCACGAACTCTTCATTGTCGCTTAGACTCTCTATATCACTGGCCTCTTCGCTAGTATTGCGGCGCAGCCCGAGTTTGCGCAAATTATTTTCCTTCTGTTTGGCTAGCTTGCGCTGCTGCTTCTTCGTTAGTTTGCGCTCCTCTGACAACCGATTTGTATGCCATTTCGCCGCTTTGATTTCACCCAAGAACTTATCTACGTCTACGCGTGGACGCGCGAGCTGCGCTTGCTCTTCAGCTAGCAATGCGGCGCGCGATGCTTCAATGTCTCGCAATAATTTACCACACAGTTTTTTCTTGACAAAGTTTGAACCGTGGCCAGTAGCTCTTTCTTCGGCGGGGTCCGCGCGTTCAGCCTTCTCCGTCTTCACTTGCTTGTTACCCGTATGCGCTTTCTCCGTTTCCAGCGCAGCATTCGACTCGACGTTATGACCGCCGCTGCCGCCACTATCCTCCCAGTTCTGTGCCTGTGTCAAACGCACCATATTAGTCGTTTCGAATTCATAACGCAGCTGGCTATTTTCAAGTATTTTCGTCGTTGGCTTAATGCGCCGCTGTGATCGTTTCGGTATGATAACGTCCGCAGGGTGACTGCCACGTTTTGTTGCTGAGCCGGGCGGCGTGTGATCACTGCTCTCGCTATTCGCGCCACTTGCGCCAGATTGTGATTTTTCTAACTGTTGCTGTTGCTGCAGTTGTTTTTGTTGCAGATGATGTAGTTTTGACTTGCGCCCGCGTTTCTTTGGTGGCGTCCGCTCTTCTATAGTTGGTATGGACGACTTACCGGCACTGCCTGGGGCTTCCGTCAAGCTTAACGGGTCGACTAGTGTTAGTTGTGGATTTACCACACAAGTCGAGGGTTCAATTTTGATTTCTTCAAGCGGTGGACCATCCTACAAGTAACGGTACACATGTTAACCTATTAAGTGCAGTGCAAACTATATTCAAACTTACCAACTGTTTGCTGTTGCCGCTAGGTGTCGCGCTACTATCGTTGCGGTTACCCAGCCGCACGCTGCGCCGCATGCGCTTACTGCCATCCCCGTTATTCGCTGCGGCGCCGGTGCCAGGACTCAACGATACGTCTTTACCACTTACAGTAGTATCTTCCTGTTCTATTTTGATGACTGGCAACGTCACTACATTTGTGCCTTCCACGTCATCCGGTTGTTTGCGTTTGCGTCCAACTGTTTTGCGCTCTTGCGGCGCGGCGCTTGTCGTTGCTAATGTCGCAGCGTCCGCCAATGTCGCCAACATCTGTTTATCCTCCTCTCTAGGTGGTAAATCAACACTTTGCTCAAAGCCCTCCATCGTCACAGTAATTTTTCTGCCACGTCCGCGCCCACGCTTCACCGGCTGCAGTTGTTGGATTTGTGCAGCAGCTGCCGCCGCCGCTGCCGCTGTTTCAAGCGCACCTGCTGCTATAGTAGTTGTAGCTGGTGGCGGACCATCAGCGTCAGTTGTTGTAGTAGGAAGATTAATGTTTTGAACCGGCTCTAGCTTCGTTGTTGGCTGTGCTGCGTCAACGGTTACTGCAATTTCCGCATTTTCCACTTTGGTCACCGACTTTGTCGTCTCAGCAGGCAGAGAATCGGGTGGATTAGTAACTTCGGAGAATCGACGCGTACGTCGTAAGCGACGAAGCGGACTAACACTGGCCGCACGCGCATTTGTAGCCTGTTATTGAGAAAATGCCAGAGTTAATAGAATTATCTGCTTGGAAAATTAGTAAGGGGACCGAAGAAGAAATAGACACATAATTCGTTATCCTTGAAAAACGCCGTGGTGCTAAAACTATCTAACGGTTAACTCGGTTAATAAATTCTAAAAAAAAGTTTTAGGAAATTCATAGTAAATTAGGGTTTCGACCTCATGAACCACGCTACGGATTTGACCCCGAAATAGGCACGTAACCCTTTAGCCTTTAGCATTTTAGAATAAGCTTTTTGAAATCCTTACTAGGGTTACAACCCCAAAATTTCAATCGGAATCTCAAAAATCAAATCAGTAGAATCCCTATCTAATATGAGATTCCGATTGAAATTCCGGTTAGTGAAGTGGCTGTCTAACGACGCACCTAAGCCTTTATGGGGACCATTGTGATGCCACTGGCACAAAAGTCACCGGTGCTTCGGATTGAGTTCATCAGTACGAACAATTTTATCCGGGCAACTTCCAACGTCGACCGCTAGTTGCTATTCTTTTTCTATATAGAGTCTTACAATTGTCTTACGCTCTTTTTCGGAGTCTAAATGTAGAGTAATGCCTTTTTACTATGCCTTTGAACCCATTGCCAGAACCAGAAGGATTTCTTTAATTGCTGTAACCTCTGCATGGAAGACAGGCGAAAGGCGTATCTAGAATTGCAGAGAATATCCCATTCTGTTAGGTATATAGATTGGAACCATCTGTATACATGCTTACCCTTGCGCTCTTGTCCACCTCGCCTTTTTCCACTCTTATCTGGAAGGAACGAAAAATCCTAATCCGATCCGAGTTTCAAACATCCTTTTTTATCTCATATTATTTACATAAGAAAAGAAACATTTTTTACTACCACAGTCCACCAGGCCTTTTATTTGTAATAAGTACCTTATCTACTAATAAGGTTGAATCGAAAAGAATCTTGAACAAATCTTGGTATGGAGATATCGATGGTGTTAGAGTCTAATATTCTAAAGTCACTCGTTTTCTTTATGCAGGTATTAAGTATGTTGATCAATATACGAACGACGTAACCTTTGCAGAGGTCTATCTGCGAAAACTTTCAAAAAGACTCTCCACTTCCATCTCTTTCATTATTGACTCAAAAATACCGCAAAGAGAGAGATGAAAGCCGCAATCACTACAAAAGTATATAATCCGTTGCAAAAGCTTAGTTTAACGAAGTGCACTAAACCCATTTAGACATCTCGCCAGAGCTTCTAAATCCATTAGCACGTCTAATACAAAATCTGAAGCAGCCATTTCCTCAATCTCACCAACCTACGCGAGTAAAACCTTTTCAAACTCGATATTACCATACTACGACCTGACTCAATCACGAATTTCGGACACACCAAATAGGTATATACCACAAAGAAGAAATGTAAAAACAATAAGAGAAAAAAATAAAATTCCATCCACACAAATAAACACAAAAATGATATCATTAGTGGCGTTATGCACGTGTTTTGGAACTGAAAGCTCGCGCTGCTTTGAATCGATATATGCATAGACACTTGTGTACTAATAGTGCTGGCAATCACGAAAGAGGTGGCATACTGAATGTCGGGATAGCTGGAGTTAGAATTGAAGGAAGTGCAGATAGCCGTGTGAGTTGAAAGAAAACGTTTCCAAAATAGTCGGGTATATGTAATATTAATGGACCTTTGCTTATCGTCCTGAAACAAGGAAAACTAATATCCAATGAACTGTTCGGCCCGGTTTTGAACTGATATTCGGGCTTGTGTAATAGTGATGCTTCTTCACCTATCTTTCTAAAATAAAAAATAAGATCGCAAATTAGCTGTTCGGCGCGGTTTTGAATAGAATGATCATTTAATTTGATAGACAAGCCGAACGACATTTTGTAGTTTCACAGGGGTCAATAAGGGGATAAAAATTTTTGCATAATAGTTGTATAGTCTGGAAATTTGTTTATCACTAGGTGAAACTTAACAAAATTCATAAAAATTTTAGCACCGCATTGGCGCTAGCTTTCGGAGAGCTTTTGACTTTGGCCAAAAACTTAAAAGTAGACCATTGTGAGCTTTTTACAGCAGAGTTGGATCCAAAATACTTGAAAATTATAAACTCTTCTATAAATCCAATTTCGTTTTAGATACAGGGTGCAGCGAATATACATATATGTGACCTGGTCTACGGAAAGGGAGCTTACGCGTCAAAAAATCCAAAAAATCAATTTTCACTTTTTAGTTTATTCGGATGGAAGACGAGATTTTTAACAGCTGTTTCCCAGAAAACTAGTTTTCGCACGTTAGCTAGCTTTTCGTAGACCAGGTCACATATGTATTTTATTAAAGATATGAAATTCCTTGTCTATTCTATAAATTTTCATTACTTTACTTACCTACACTCATCAGAAAAACTAAAATCCAATGTCATGAAATATATTTCGGGTTTATAACTAAATTTCTAGAATCGATTTTTTTTATTTTATTACTTATATACACGCTCTCTAGGCAGAAAAATTAAACACTGATCCCGTGAAATATATGCATTTCGGGACTCGATTATTTTTTTTTTTTTATTATTCTACATTCGTATCTCCTCTGTAATCGAAAAAAATTTAAATAATAAATTTCGGGGCTAAATCAATTTTCGGGATTGTGATTTTTAGCTTACATTACCAAATCTAAGAGATAAGCATACACAAATAAATATATGTATGTATGTATAAATGTATACGTAGTATGAACGAATCGATTGCTAGTGGACGGCGAAAACTAAACATTTACTAGCTTTCATTTGAGTAGCAGGCAGCGGTGGCATTAAGTGAGGGTATTCCCTGAACTTCAAACAAGTGCCACATATCTAGATAACTCAATTTTTCTATATGCAAAGGATGGATTTATACTGTTATTTCTAGTAAATTTTAATTTTCTTAATAATGGGTGACAAAATGATTTGCAACTAAAAGGAAAAGCTTCAGAAAGCTCAAGCACGAATATGGGAGAGGGCAAAGTGCAGATAAAACTAAGCAAAATAACGCTTTATTAACTAATAGGTGATAATTATTTGTTTATTTAAAGATATTTAATAAAACAGCCAAGCAGAAATAGTAAAAGCTAAGAGAGCTTTCGAGAGCGCCAAAATTAGAGTGGGTCTACGTACATTTGTATATTTGCATTTGCAATTTTATGCTTCTTTAATTCTCTTGAATTTCAAACATTTTTTGCTAGTGAAAAAAAATTTAAAAAATTTGCGGAAAGAATCACGTAGAACAAAAGCAACAAAGAAGTTGGTAACAGCAAGTGCAGGCAAAAGCAAATATTTTTTTGCAAAAGCACGAAATATATAATAGAAAAAGCTGCGAACTAAACATGAAGTAAATATGATCGTAGTTGGGTAGATGAGTGTTGCTTTAACCGAACTACACACGTATCCATACATACGTAGTAAGTGAATTTTTAGAGGGCAAACTGGAGCACGAATGAAATTGTTTGACACCGAAGGCGAGGGAGAGTCTGTAACACATTTTATGCTTACATATATTAATCAATTTAAATGATTTATTTAGGAATCCTGTTCTTTACGAATCGTTTCAGGTAAGACTCCAATGGCGTCATCCTTAGCAATTAATGGTCCTTAAGTTTTACATTATGAAGAGATTGAAGAATCCAGAGACTAGAAATGTGGCATGATTTCTTTTTGTAGTGTCAGCAGCTGTGATTTTATAATAGATTTCCTTACTGACAAACAGAGTCGCCACGTTCCCACGAAGTAATACCTAATCAGGTGGTTCCGTGGGAGAGTCTGGTGTTGGGAGTAGGTAAGGTTTAGCGGATTAAAGTTCCGCACTTCGGCTTTTGATGCTTCCCCAGGCAGATTTCAGCTAGATTACCTTCAAATCTCCTCAGTGACAAAATTAACAAATGTCATTTTTGTATGACGAAACTTGCCAAATCTAGTAGACTAGTGAGATATTATATTCAACAGCATAAGTCTCGTGATTAAGTATCGGTCGGAACCGATTATTATACTAGTTCGAGCAAGGTTTAATACGGTTCACAGGGCCGTAGAGAGAAAACCTGAACCCTGAATTTACTTCTTCGAGACAAACTTCTGCAAATCATTGTTGCTGAGCCCAGGCCTTCCTGAGCAAACTGTGCCCTGGCGGAATTATACCCAATCTTCCACCCTCTCTCCTTCACTGAAGTTTTATTATTACGCTGTAATAAAATCAATTTTCCGAGAAAAAAAATTTTTCTCACAAAACGAATTGATGTTTTACCAACTAATTTTTTATTTATTTCATAACTTCCTACCTACATTTCTCCACCTAAGCGTTTTTATAAACTTTTGCTTAAGTACTTACAATTTTATCAGTAGCATCGCTGTTGACCACATCGTTATGGGCTGTTTTCACACACTCATTCTCTCCGGCTACTCCCTGCTCTAAGCTAAGTAGTGTGCTGCTATTTATGTTGCTGGTGGTAGTGCTGGTGAGTTCCGCCTTCGGCTGTTGTGCTGCCGTCGTTAGCAGTATATTTGAAGTTGATGTAATTGCTGTTGTTGTTATAGTATCAACATTCGATATGTCACATGAGTCACCTCTAGATGATGTTGCAAGCAAATCCTCATCTACATCGTCAATATCTTGCTTAATTGAATCCAATTCGACCATAACTAAATCTGCAGCATCCGCGCTAATGGTAGCTGCCACCAAAGAATTTTCCAAATTTTGATTTGCTGACTCAGCTGTCATACCACTTTCCAGATGTGCATCCGCTGTGTACGGCACAACTTGTTGGCATGTACGCTTTGAGTCAGTAATGCCGTCATGAAAGCTGTCATCGGATTGACCTTGAGCGAGTGTGCCAATGCTGGCATTACTGCTACTGTTATAGTTACTGCAGTTGCTATTGCTAGTGCTGGTGTTGCTGCGTCTTTTTCTGTGCGCTGCATCTGGGCCGACGCCTGCAGCAATTGAAGTTTCACTTTCATGCAAAGATACTTTATCTTCCATACCGATTGCTTCCTCTTTACTTACAGCCGACACACACTGCATGTTTTCCGCCAGCGCAGCGCCACTTGTTGTGGTCTCAGTCGGCTGTTGCAAGTCCTCATCATCGGCCAACAAAGCTTTCATTTGTTCTTCCATAAAATCGGTTGTAGATGCACGATCTTCTTGATCCTGTGCCGTTAATTTTATTTTACTTTCTGTTTTGTTCAGCTCCTCAAACTTGTTGTCACCACTGCCCTTGGCGAGTTGCTCTAGTTTTATAGCTTTTCTGTTGTTATTATTGTTGCTACTGTTGGTATTGCCGTTTTGGCTTTGTTTGCACTCCTGTTGAGTGCTGTTGGCCGACGTCGTTGACGCCTGGTGCTGCTTATGTGTTTGTGCTTTTCTGTCCTTATCTTTGCATGCGAATCGATTATTCACCATGGTACGCCATTTCAGCGTTTTGTCTTCGGCCAAATCGTGATTGAGCAGCGAACCACCTTCAGCGGTGCTCGTAGCGCATTCAGCATCAAAAGTACTGGACATAGAGCTGAGCAGTGACTCCATACAATCGGCGGTAGTCATGTTATTAATTGGTATTAGTGCGGAAAACAAATGCCTACACTACAATCTTAAATTGTAGTTAAATTTTTATCTATATATGAAATATTTACATTTATACATACGTATGTAATATGTAGCTAATTCTATTTTCCAATCGGCATAAGCATGTATACGGATACATAGATACTTTTTATATTTTGTATGGATTTGTGTAACCAAATAACAATCACACGTTAGCAATGTAATTCAAAGTAAAGTATTTTTTTCGTAATTAGTCTACACAGATTTGTCCCGAAACACAGATATTGTGAAGTCAACTTCAATAATCGAATTTCGTTTATCACCATTACTGTAGACAAAATGCACAAATTGTCCACCGTTTGAACATAAAAAATTGTGTTCACAGCTGTTTACGCCCAACGCCCCCTCGTACACGTCGCTACTTCTGCTTACCCACAAATGCTCGCTGTCTTACTTCACCAGCAGCGCGGTTGTGTTAACACAATTTTAACTACTTTACACCAAATATTTAATATAGTATTTCAAAATATTTAATATTTCCAAATATTTTTATGCAATTTCATATGTGTTATATATTACTTTTTTACGCTCAATCAATTTACATACATACATTCACAGCTCCACAAATCTCTATACTCGGCAATATACTTTTAGCTGCTCTTGAACGTAATAATGCTTTGCTTCTTAGCACTGCCGTTTTTTCTTGCATTACTTATCTACACTTTTGCTTATTCTGCTTCTTCTTTAGCTATTAGTTAAATATGTATTGCCTTTTCTGTATGTACTCACATGTTTTCTGTTTTTTTTTTTTTTTTTTTTTTTTTTTTTTTTTTTTTTTTTTTTTTTTTTYTTTTTTTTTTTTTTTTTTTTTTTTTTTTTGTATAATTAAACAAATTATTTGCACATTTCATTTCAGTTTTCAAACATTTTCAATATTTTAGTAATACAACAATTTTGCTCAGCTTCATTCATGTATATGTATGTAAGTAAGCATATCTGAATTACATATTCACGCTCGGTATATGTTCGATTTACATGCGCCAACGCTGCTTTCTTACTTCAGCTTCACCTCACCGCCCCGCTTACTCCTAAAACCATTCATCACCCATAGCACGTTCGCACATCTCAATTTCATTGTAAAAATTATATTTTCTTTAACACTAAAATTCAGTTCATCGCCACGGGTTTAATATCATAATTTTGGCATTTGATTTTCTTTAAGTCGTTTAATTTTTAAATTACAAACATTATGTTTTTTCTTTACACAAATCTTACTGAAATTCTTCAGCTGCTTTGCTCCCGTCTTGTTGGAACGAACTCTTCTGTTGGCATACTCAATGCCGTCGTATAGCCAATAGCCTCACATCAGCAACGTAGCCGACACTGACGTCGCTGCCGCAACGCTCGCTTGTCGCTCGCTTTCCATTCAATAAAGAACCGCTGCTCGCGATAGCGTTGCCGTCAGGCTATGCTCTGCCACCATGTGACGCCCCTGTTTTATTTGTTGTTGATATTATTAAACATACGCTCTTTAATCATTCAATTTAGTTGACCAAAGTTCTCTCGCATTCGCACGTAGCTGCTCCAAAAGTATGATTTTTGTTTACCCCCTCTCCAATAAGTTCCCAACAACAAAAACAACTCTATATAATTAGCCCCTTGATGATTGCTTTGCTATTGTTTTTGTACCATGTCACGTTTGTAGGGAGTCCTCTGTCGTATTGTTATTGCTATTAAAAGCTGCTTGTGTTGCTGCAATTAGCGGTTTCATTTGCACTCTCACATGTACCCACGCTCTTTTTGCACTTCCCTAAACTCGTTTACGCTCGCTCTTTGTTTGCGGCTGCCGTACACAGACGTTTTTCTTTTGTTACTACTTCTCAGCTGCTGCTGTTGCTGCACCCCCTTTTTAATGAACTTTGTTTGCTATTAAATTTTCACATGTTTTTTACGAAATTTTTGTCTGCGAAATTCAGCGCGGTTTTCCAATTTGATATACTCGCACTTTCAATTATTTAATTTCACTTTTCACGAGCTATTTTCATGTTTTCTTACAGCAACTGTTTTCAGTTCTCTCGATAGTGACTTTTCCTTGCGTTTGTGCTTTCAGAACACACCCGTTTCGGGAAATCTGAAATACAGAGTTGCCTAAGCTAAATTGCTTTGACAGCTATGCGATAATTAAAATTAAATTATTTATTCGTTATAACTTTCACGAAGCCTGTTATATTTATTTATTTAATATAGTGAGATGGAAATATTTTGATAGTAAGTAGTTCAAATAGTTTTCTATTAATCCTGGTAACGAAAAGCGAATAGAAAACGCCACTATGTATATATTGAAAATATAGATAATTTTATTACACAAACCCGGAAACGGAAATGTAACCTTGGATTACTTTTTTTTAATGGCCCCTATTTTTTTATGTGGCCTAATTTTAACTCTTAATTCTTCGAAATGTTAAATATTATTATCAACTTCCTGAACTCGTGTTAAAAAATATAGGTAAAATTGTATATTGTTATGCTGAAAAATTATAATACCCAAGTCTTAAATAGATTCAGTAAATTTAATTTCAAAAGCTATTAAATTTTTACTAATTATTGCAAGAAATGTCCACGTAAAAAATATTGCTAAAGATAATTATAAATATATAAAATATTCCATCGCAATAATAAAAAATAAATGTAGTACCTTTGACTAATTCTTTGTCATCTGAAACACCCAGTACGCTACTGCACAGCACACTGTTCGCGGTGAATTATGACATCCATGGTGAGTAAAATGCATGGTGTCATTTGATGTTTTCAATATTTTGTTTTTGTTGTTCTGCAGAGCTGAAAAGAAAAGGTTATAGTGATTTTGCGCTGTGTCGCGGTTCAGTGAAATTGTGAATTTTCTAAAGGAAAAACCAAGAAAAATCCTAAAAAGTGTGTAAAAAGCACTAAAAACGTGTTAAAAGGCATCGCCAAAATTCGTAAAAGTGCGCGAAATTCTTTTACAGATTCAAAATAGAAAAATTATACATACCACCCCCAGTGAAAAGTTGTGAAAACACAGCCATACAAGCAGGCTTTACCAAGTGAGAAAAGCGTAAAGTTTTTTGCAGTGTAAAAAGGCAATACAATCAAATTTAGTGCAAATAAAAACTATAGCAAAGAAATATTTGTGCAGATAAACACTGAACAAAACTGTTAGGCTTCTCCTTTTTGTCTCATAACATTATTTATTAAGCACCTTCAGTAAAAGCGTCAAGACGCCGCCAACAGCGCCAGCTTCACCCCCCGCGGAGCATACGTGCGTGATGCGTGACCTCGGCACCAAAATGGCCGAGCTGAAATTCGAGGCTCCATTAGCTAAATTCGAGGAGACTGATGAATGGGGCGGTTGTGACTTCATTACCAATCAAAATACGATTAATGATACATTGAATTTGAATCTGAAAGATTCGTCGTTGAAGCAGGAAAACAAGATGCGCCTACTTGAAGAGGCTGTGCGTGATGCACATGTGAGCAGGAATGGTGTGCTCATGACGAACGGCAGTAATGCTGATAAGGCTGACGGCGGTGCAATAAGTCCCAATTGTAATTCCTTATTGGCCGCTGAGTTGGGATTGGATGTTGGTTTGGCGCCCGGTGATGATGGTTGCGATAAACGTTCCACCGTTGGGGATACCGTTGATAATTTTGCTGAAACATTCGGCGGTAGTCTCGAGGATTTAGTTAATACATTTGATGAAAAAATAACCAAATGTTTCGGAAATTTCGAAGAGAATGTTGAGGATTTGGCACCGGTGCAAGTTCGCAGCCAGGAGGAAATCATGAATGAATGCCAGTGAGTAAAAATAAATTTTATAGTTATAATGAAAATGACAAATATGGTTGGCTAATTGTTTTCAGTCAATTTTAATTATCCAATCGATAGCCGGTGCCTATCAAGACGATTATGCTACTTGTCAAATTTGTTTTTACGCTTTTCTGTTGTTGTTTTATTATTCCATTGCTTATATATTAAAACTTTATTTTTTTTTTTTTTTTGTAAATTCATGCGGCATATTTTTCATGTATGCACTACTCTTGACACCTTTGCCAGCGCCTGCGCACTAAATATGCACTACCCGCAAGCTAGTATTATTTGTAAAATACGCTTGAATTTTCGTACAAACAAAAAACAGCACACACCCACTAATTCTCTGCATTTCTAACGAGCCGCTATGAATATAGTACATATACATATATGCAAGTTCATTTGCCAAACACATATAAGTCTATATACAAATATACTTATGTATAAAGACGATCATACATATTAATCACCGCTTTCATCGCCTGAGACTCCAATAAGTTTCTGCCATACATCCTTTATTGTTGTTGCTTTTGTCAATTCTTGATGCTCGTATGTCCTGTCAAGCGTATGGTGACCGGGGAGCATGTATGACAACAGCTAAACATTAGCATGCAACTTATTTAGTAGTACATGGAGGTGGTGGATTTTTGTTTTACTCAGCGCTATAGTGGATCGATAGCCATAAAGTGGGTGTAGGGTTGGTGGTAGCACGAAAGGATTTTATTATGTCGCTGGTGAAAGCGCTACAGTTGGTAATATGAAATACATACATATCTACATACGTACATATCTAACATTTGGGGTGGCTGACAGTAAATATACATGTAAACTTATACATTTTGGTTTGTTTTTACAAATATATAATACAAACATTTTGCTTTGCAAATTTCATGCAAAATACGCAATTTCTCTGCCCTGCCAAACCTGAAACAGGTGTTATTGCTAATGTGTTGAAATATGAATTTAGTAAATTTGTGAATATTATAACAAGTAAATATAGCCATGTTGGTTATTATTTAACAATTCTTATTCGATAGTTCTTCAAACAATCGATAACTCATAGTTGCTATGGACAACATTTTATGTTGGAGTAAACAAATTTTATACTCTCTTAGTTCGGAAAGCCAAAAAAATGCGCTCTATTCTTGTTTAAAGTTTCTTAGCACTTTTAAAATTATTGCAATCAAATACGTTCGTTTAAAAATACGGGACAACAAATACATACATAAGCATATAAAAATTACTTATACTATAAATTAGTATAATACGTGATGACATTTCCTTCTTATAATCATAATTGCACACACTTGCTGGCGAGAATAACGCTTGTGAATCTGCACACGCTCTTGCATGCACTATGTTGAAGTAAATTTTATTTATTGTCCACATCCCTTTAAAAACAATTCATTCTATGCGTAATAGTATTTACGTGCACATAACAAATGCATTCACATTCTTCGCCATGCAAACAAGCAAAATCAAAAAAAAAAAATATATAATATATACATATCGAGTTCAATTCAATTACGACCCATATACAATGCCTGTGCATTCATGCTGATAAGGAATGCAACAATGACAATTTAAGCAAAATCTTATGTGAACGGTTACTCTAAATAGGTTTTTCGCTTTTGTTGTTGTTATTTTTCTATTCAATAATTATTTATAAAACTGTAGAGATATGTTCGGCACTGAAGTGAAAAATAGTGATTGATTGCTCCATATGTTATCGATTATTGCCGATTGTTCTGTTAACGAGGTTTTGCTACCGCAAACAACTCGCAATCTTATCTCAGTGTATTGACGAAAATATTTATTTATATTATATAAAATTATAATATACCATATACATATGT